GGGAACGGGCCGGGGGAACGGGCCGGGGGGAACCGGCCGCTGCCCCGGAGCGGCCCCAGGTGCGGAGAAGCGCCTTTTCCTGCCGCGTCCCAACGCGCCTTCCAGGGGCGGGTCCGTCCTGACCCGGGAGCTTAAACCGTCACGGCAGCAAGAGCACGATCAGCTGGGGGGGTCTGATTCCATCCTTTATTGAGCACAGAAGCCGTCCAAGGCGTACACGCAGATTATGTGTCAGTTCTCTGCCGGGAGTCCAGTTTCCCCCATTTATCAATGTCACAAACAGTTTTAAAGTAACCATACCTGAGCAGGATTACAGAAGTACAGTGAACAGAACTTTCTATCAAGTTAGACCTGACAGAAGAATTTTAAAAAGTTACAAAGAACAAACAGTTCAAGGATCTCACGAATACTCCGTTACTAAAACAAATAAAGGGTAAAAAAAGATGATTAGAAAAATTGCTACCCAGTAAATATTAAATTAAACCCATCAGTTCGGTCTGGTGAGCGTTCACACACTCCCAGCGGGTCAAAGAGTAAAGTCCCAAATACGGCACTAACAAACCGGCCGAAGGAGAAAAGCGCTTCATCGCTTTCGGAAATTAATTGATTTGAATCAGTCAGTGGTATTTCCCCACGCGTCAGGAAATGGGTTTTAGCAGCTTGCCTGTCCCCAGCTGCTGGCGTTCAGCTCCTTTGCACCACCTTCCCGATGGACACAGAGATCGGGCCTTTAACACCTGGATGTTCCTTGGACAATTTGTGAGTAATTCTGAAGTCACTCCTTGCACTCACTACTTCTGTACTCTTGTCAAGGCACAATTAATAGAAGGAGATGCAGAAGCTGTACTTAGAGAGCTTAAAATTTAGGATTACAATGTGTAACTCAACACGGATTCCAACAAAGTTTAAAACTGATTCAAATGCAACTGTGGAAAGCACGAGCCAGATTCCAACCTCGCTGGGACAGAAACAGCTCTGCTGACCTCACGTCCCGATCCCTGCGCGCGGGCACACGTGCGCGCTCGCTGCGGGAGGGACTGTCTGTCCAGCACGGCCCTTACGAGGTCTCACCTTCACTGTAACTGGTTGACATCAAACACAGAAAACGCAGTTGAGGCTACAGAAAACATTACCAGAACCGGCTGTTGGATATATTTGCACACACAATTTCAGTTATGCGTTCCTGCCGATTGCGGTTACTCATTCTGCACAGTGCCTTGCCCACATTTGCATGATGACACCCTGAAAGGTAAATGTCCAAAAGACATTTTATTCTTTTTATGTTTAGGAACAAGATTAACCCATGGACCTCTAGCAACGAGCTCCAAAAAGTACAGATGCACAAAGCGGTGTTTGCCAGCCGTGTCGTTACGTGCTCATACCCTGGCAAAACCGCGTCAGAATGAGAAGATTTGACAAGAAAACTGCCCCCTTGTACCAGAGTCTTACGCTGAAGGAGAACGTAACGAGCAGACTGAGTAAAACCGGCAGTGAATTAATGGCAACGAGCCCAGCAACAGACAACCATGAAGCAATAATGGCACCACCGTCACCGGTTCCAGAACATGTTAAAATTCAGCTCATAACAGCACCGAGACTCTCGAGAGGTTGAAGAAGAGGCAGATACAGGAGTCACAGCCAGGATCTGCGCCAGCCCTGGGACCAGAGCACACACTCAGGCGGCTTTTCAGTTTATTTCTGGTGAGGTCCTGAGGCTTGAACTGTGCAGTTCGATTTGTTTGATCTTTAAAAAGGTCACACCCATAAAACAGGAACGTTTTCAGTCATATTCTGCCACAGCACTGCACACTGGATTCTTTGCATTAGGACTAGAGAAAACAACGAAAGCATTTGTGCTGAAAAAAAAGCAACACAAACTTTGCAAACTAAGTGAAATCCATCCTTGGCTGGATGTCTTTCACCCTCCCAATAAAGTGCAAGTCAATTGCTTGTTTTGATTTAATCAGCAAGTTTTGCCTTTCTCCAGGATCAAGCTTAAAGAATAAATGAATATTTTGTTTAAGAAGTCACATATATGAGAAATACGTGTGTGTGTGTGTATGCATGCGGGTTTAAAAATCGAAACCATGCCTGAAACAAGATGTTATAAAGTCTTTTTACTTGTGTTCTTTTAGACAGAACTTAATCAAGATTGTAACAACTTGTTCTGAAATAAAGGTGGGAGATCAAACAGGAAATAAAGATAACACCACTTCTTTTTCAAATGTCACATTTAATGTTTTCACCACTGTACTTCAAATCTACATTTTACAAAGTGACCAGCAAGTGTGCCACATTAACTGACCAACCTCTGAGATTTTACCTTTCATACCAGTGTCTTCTTGGGCTCTTTTAATTAAAGACGTTTCTCATTCAAGTGAATTGAAATGCTTCAGTTGGTTTAATTCTCAGGAGCCTCACAAAAAACAAAGATATTGCACCATCTTTGTTCAGTTATTCAATGTTTGTCTCTTTCACAGCAAATAATTACTTCATTGAAGTTAAAACTTCCAAACATAACTTACTAATAGTCTCCAATTTCAGCTCAGATCACTCTTGTTGAAAATACTCTGCTAAATACAGATAACTTACAATAACTTTAACAGTTAATTGTCCATAACAAACACCACGGTTTTTCTCCAGACCAATGCTCAAATTTTAAGACCACCCTTTAGTATTTCTTTGTACAGGTGAAAAACAGTCTTCAATTTTCTAGTCCTGTTTTAAATATAAAAGTTGGAAGGGACATTCAAGTTTCAAGTCTCCACACTGAACTTAAAAAAAAAAAAAAAAAAAATCATGTGGAGGTAAACAAACCAAGTTGTATACTCCAGGAGGTAGAGGCCTTCAATTTGTGTTCATATATACATATGCACAGAATTCAGTGTTCCAACAGAAAAAGAATTAGCCAAAAAGTAATAAAAGTTATTTACTACTGTGACATTTCAAGACTTCCACAGCTTTGCCTAAAGACACGAACACAATTAACATAATTCCCTATGTGCTTTTTTTTTTTTCCTTTTTTTTTTTTTTTTTTTTCTCTCTCAACTGTCCAGTGCAGGAAAAAGTTCTCACAAAATTTCACAGACCTAAAATGTGCAAGCTAGTTTCTCTCTATACAGCAATGATGTCAGGGATCTCTGAAATTAGCCCATAAATGGAATTATTTACACACATAGAAGATGCATGCTGGGGGGTTTTATGTAAGAAAGAGCAGAAAAACTTCTAATAAAAATAGATTAAATATATATATATATTTATACTGGGTAAGGAAACAGAAATTTAGTCTCTCCTAGTCACAAACTCATTCTCTCTACTCACAACATTTGATTTTAGAACAGCACACATCACCACCACAGCTCTAGTGAGAAGCTATTTATAGGATTTGATCATCAGGTGACGTGTCCACTCACTGTGGCCACTGTCATCTGACGTGACTTCATGATTGGTCACAGTCAAGTTTTCTGTATTCCTTAGTTTTAGAAAACCCAAAATCTTCAGGAATGGCTCAATATCAAAATGTATGTCTATCTTTTTGTACAATCTCACTTCAATAAAAAAAAAAAAAAAAAAAAAAAAAAACAATTCTGTTTGTTCTGAGCTGAGCCATCACAGCTGCACTAGAATTCATAAAACACGTGCAACTCTGGGTAAAATATTTTCTTCTAAAAGCACAACCACTTTACAAGATTAAAAGTCTAGTACATTTCTAAATATTATTTATATTGTACAAGTAGTGGTTGTTAATTTAAAACTTCATTAGTAAAATTACAGTACAAGCATGATTAACCTCCAGAATTGCAAATCCCAGACTCCAGTGGAAAGCTACATTACATCTTCAGTAGTATATTATCTTCCACTTTATTCCCAAACCAGTGGAGATGGCGGCATCTCAGAGGGTTGAGCAACTGTGGAACTAGAATGCAGGCGATACAGAAAATCAGTGTTCATTTGCAATAGCTAATGGACAAGAAAGTTAATGCTCGACCAGTGAGCAAGCATTCCGAGGCAAACAAAAAAATCCCCATCAAAACCAAAACAAAACACCCCGAGACCAACAACACCACCGACAACAAATATTTGGCCGTACTTTATCTCCTTGTTTTCTTAACAGTTTTTCATCCGTCAGTCATTCCTTTTAATATTTTTACAGCGCAATTCTACAATCACATCAACCTTTCAATTCTTTTAGTCTAACTTCTGTACTCTTACGCAAAAATATTATTGGAAACTTTTGCGCCTTTTACTTAAATTCTAGAAGAATTCATAAAAATATTTTTTTAAAATGTAACCATACAGGGTGGGGTTTGGTTGGTTTGGTTTTTTTTTGCAGAAGTTATCTGTGGGCTTTTCCTACACTTAGAAACTTAAAACATAAACCATTTTGGATGTGTGAATTCTGTACTGCTAATAAATGTGAATTAATATCAGATGTGATTACATACAGTTACCTAATAAAGCTCTTAAAAGCAGCAGACTGAGGGTTGATGCAGAGAGGCACTCTGTTTCCTTTCTGCTGTTCCAAAATGAACTGATGAATTATTTCTGCACATAGGAAAAAAACAAAGAACACCGTACCATTAACACTTTTTTGCTTCAGTAAATGCAGTGTAGACTGGGGGAACATGCAGCTTCCTTTACTGAAAATACATTTTAGCAAGGA